AATAATTGTATCACGGTGTAAAACTGACCCATGAAGGTAGAATAATTGTATCACGGTGTAAAACTGACCCATGAAGGTGAAATAAATGTATCACGGTGTAAAACTGATCCGTGTTGGAGTTTTTGCATCACGGTGTGTAATACAATGACTCGTGAAGGTGAAATATAATTGTTTCATGTGGTTTTAACCAACACGCTAGTATTGTTGTTGTGTTTTTATATGGGTTCAATAGTTGTCTAAAAGAGGAAAATTGCGATTTGAAAGAAGAAAAAGTTTAATGGAGATACATTTTAGTTTTGAAACAAACGGCGCGCCATACTCGAGAGATCCAACTAGTGCTTGTACCAAATGCAGAGATCTCTGTACGCAAATCTTCTCGTCTGGATCATCCACAAAGGTATACGAAATTCTGCATTGTCATAATATTACTTTTAATGAACAAACACGAGATTTCACGAAACATTTAGATACAATGTAAACGATCTCATTTCGTTTTTGCATGCGTAAAACAATGCGTCATCTACAAGAACAAAATATTCTACCTAGCCTTGATATATTGACTCTGAACATGGACCAAGAAGCAAAGAGCAACACAATTTCTGTGAAATAACCAAATCACTGACAATGATACGAAAATTTATTCGTGAGTTTCCAGACATTTCTAATGAAATCTAATATAGTGTACATATCAAGTGACAGACTCGCCAAATTTGTGACCTCTTTGAATGAAAAGATCAAAGGCAGCGTGCATTAATAGAACTGCTATTTATCTYATAGTTAAAATCGTCAAAACCATCAAGTAARCCAGTTTGTTTCAGAGGTATGAAATTTCCTTCAYTATTCCATCAATTTCTTTATTGATTTTATTTGTGAAGAGAAAATTTCCATTTGATAATTTAAGGTCCGCCCGGAGCACCGGGTCCACAAGGGCCGAAAGGAACAAGCGGACAAAGGGGACGACGTGGTAAACGAGGGTTGCGAGGATCTCCTGGAATACAAGGTCCACCTGGACTACCAGGTCCGCARGGACCGAGGGGAGTGCCAGGAAGARCGCTCTCTGGAAAATCTTCATCGATTATCCATTCCCTTGGTGGGTATTTGAGAAGAACAAAATATAAAACCAACACGAACTATTCAATGGTAAATACATGTAAAATATACAAGCTCATGTACTTTTTAATTTTTCTAACAGCTCTTCCAAAAATAACCAAAAGACCTCCATCTGTTCTTGTCACCAAAGAAGGCGATAATGTTGTCATTCCGTCCAAAGCCTCTGGTTTTCCTAAACCTAAAATCTCGTGGTACAAAGACAACAAGAAAGTAGACGAGCGATTCTATGCAACTGGTGATCTACGAATAAAGAATGTCAAGTTCCAAGACCATGGGGTTTACTTATTGAAAGCAAAGAATTTCATTGGTCAAGCAACAGCGAAAATGAAACTTGTTGTAAATGGTAATGTCGTTCAGAGAAAAATACTGGAATTTAGTTTCATTTGGGTTTTCAGAAGGAAATGTTTTTTGCTAATCAACTGAATTCAAGTTCAGTTCTCAGTAGTGCAATTCTAATTCATTCATCCGAATGTGAAGTGAGGTTAAGTAAAATTGATGCTTCGAGGCGTGGTTTCCTACGCTTCGCTCCTTTTCTCTCTGTATCCCGCGTATTTTTGTTAAAACGGAAATCCGTTTAATATATTGCTTAATTCAAACTCCAAGGGATTCCAGCGCGTAGCGTGGACTTTTTTGCTAGTACGCACATGGTTAGGGACCGGGACACATATTCTGGATTGGGTGGGCTAACGAACGCCGAAGGCGGGAGTATTAGCGGGGTTTTGGGGTCCTCCCGCAAGAAGGTTTGAAAGAACAACTCTTGGAAATACGATTTCCAGCGTTTTGAGGGTCATCGAGAAAATTGTATTTAAAAATTCCCGAAAATTTTAATTAATATTAATATTTCCTTACCACTAGTATATGCGTAAAGGACGCTACGCGACTGCGATTCTAAAACCCTTTCGACAACATTCTTGTAGTGGAGCTTCGCGTCGTTGTTTGCTACGCTTCTCTCGTGTTCTCCTTATATCTCGCGTTTTTTTATGAGAGCATCAAAAAGAGAAGTCCTGTTTGTATTCCTTAATTCAAACACCAGGGTTTTACAAAACCCTTCGGGCAACATTCTTTATAAGATTCGTGAGGCGCAAGATGCTGCTAAATTTATTGGATACGGTCATTAGAATTTCTGGACAATTATTAACATATCGTTATTTTTGAAATAGTTGCTCCACGATTCGTGATTCTACCTCCACATTACCTTTCTGGTTATGAAGACTGGAACACAACCATCACATGCAATATATTTGGGTTTCCTCCTCCACGGATCGAATGGACACGAGCACAAAAAGCCATGCCTAAAGGACGCCATGTAAAATCTGGTAATCGACTTATTATCATGAATACAAAGAGAGAGGATAAGGGACCCTACATGTGCAAGGGAATCAATAATCAAGGGAATGTGCTTGCTATGGTAGTCCTTAATGTTCATTCTGTTAGTAAGTAGCAAATCCTAAAGGTCTTAATCAGTTTCTAGAATGCTATAAGACCATGGATTAAAGCATATAAAATTGTGTATTTCGAAAAACACATATCAATTCGAATAGTCCTGAAGGTTTTAATAATTATTTTTATATTTCTAGTTGCGCCAGTCATCATACAATCCTCTCCTAATAACGTGACCGTGTATAAAATCTTGAGCCGCGTAAAATTGAACTGTTCGGCTACTGGATCGCCACTGCCAACGATCGAGTGGAGCAAAGATGGCCGACCTTTATCTGTAAACACTACAGTTCACCAGACCAATAA